TGAGCCATCCAAGCAGAAAGAAATGTTTTGAAAATGATGAGGGCAAAAAATGCACAAATGTGCCTGACACAATGGATGCATGTGTGGATTTTGATAAGAGTTGTATGAGCCCCCAATAAGATTAAAGAAAAAGAATAATAAAAAAAAAAAAGAACACTAAAATTTATTCACAGCGGTCATCTCTGGGGGGACGTGGGAAATCTTTCGCTCGTTTTTCGAGTTTTTATGAACATGTAGTCATGGTGGGATCGGGGGGAGACTTTGCTAGAAACGGATACTCTGCCTTTTCTGTTTGACTAAATTCCTTAACGGCGCGCCATATTTATGGGTGGGTCATCTAAAATCCTCGATAAAGTAATACAACTCGCTGAATCAATCAATGAATACGTGTCGTGTCCAGTTCACGTGGCTGTTGAAGGAAGCCCCCTCCCCCAACCACCCAAAAAAGCCAGTTATGGGGGAACACAGGGCCTAGGGCCATAAAGAACCTTGGAGATCAGTTCATTCAATTTCTCTCTTACCTTCAACCTATATTTAAGTTTTTTTTAAATCAAAGTACCTCAAGGCAATGAAATACTGAATATACAGCTTTCCAACTTCCTTCAGGAATCCACACTAATGCTAATTCACTCTAGTGATAGGGAAAGACGCCATGGTCAAGGGTACTGCGTGTTTCGAGGGAGGTGCAGCCCACCAACCACCAACAGCGGTTGGGACCGTTACTCACCATTTCTTGGGACGCCAAACTGGGGCTGGCGGAGCACCAAACTGAAGAGCATCTGGACGGGAGGCCAAAGTTCAACTGAAGAAAAATCGCTGGAAGCGCCCCTCAGGTTCAGCCGAAGTCGTGTCTAGAAGAGCCCTAGGAACACGACTAAGTTACACCCCACGACTCCCGCCACTGGCCGTTCCTGCCACCAAACTCCGCGCCAAACTGACGCTACATCCTCTGATTGGCTCCCTCCGTGGCGTCACTGCGCCTAGCGTCACTTCCCCCTCGGGAGCCCCGCCTCCTGTTCTTCGGTCCGCGGGAACCAGGCGTTCAAGAGCTCCCTGAGCGCCTGCGCGGGGAGCGCAAGCGGCGCTGGCGAACCGCCGGGTGGACAGGGCGCATGCGTAACACGACTTGCCAGAACGCGGAGGGAAAATTCGCGAGAAGGCAGTGGAAGAAGATGGCGGGCCTGGGACAGAGTTTGTAACCTTTCTGAGTAGGGTAGTCGAACGTATTATTCAGGTTATGGCGTCAAACTCAACTAAGTCCTTCCTGGCAGATGCCGGCTATGGCGAACAGGAACTGGATGCTAACTCTGCCCTTATGGAATTGGACAAAGGTATTCGAAAGGGCGGGCTGAGCGACACGGTTGTTGGGGGAAATGGCGCCACCAGGTGGTGGGAGTCTCAGGAGAGACTGGGCTAGCGCATGCGCATGTTGTCGCTGTCTGGGGAGTCGACCCCGATTTTGCGCTTTTGGTGAAACGAGAGTTTTGGCCACGTGTGGACATTGAAGAAAGACTGCTGGATCATCCGATAGGCCTTACACCAGCAAGCTCTAGTTATAGGCCATTTTGACCACTTGAGGCCACAGTCCCGATTTCCCAAGTAATGAAAGTAGCTAGTTTCGAAAAATGCTGACATTGTTTTTAAATATGTTCAATCCGGACAGAGCCATCATTAAGAGTGCTGAATTAGTATCTTGCACCGCTTTTAAAAAGTCCATTGGATCTCTAATTCGTTTCCACCCGCGGTTGCTAGACCAACCAACGCAAATCCAGCCCACTGCCATCCAGCCCGTTCCTCCTCATAGCCAGAACTGCTCCTGAGGGTTTCCAACGCTGTCGTCTTTGTGGGGGCGAGGGCCTCACCTTTGCCCCAGAGCGGCTGGCGCGATGGTTTTGAACGCCAGCTTTGTGGTCAGTCGCCCACCTCAACCCTCTGCACCCTCGGCGATTCAATATAGATTTCAAAGGTTGTAAGTGAAAGTGTGGGGGGAGGGGCTTGACCCTACAGCACCACACGCGTCCTGTGCGGGCTGAGTAGAAGGGGGGGTTTCTAAAAGTTCGTGGGAAAAAATGGAATGCAAAGACAATGGGGTTTTCCCACGTATTTGTTGAAGCCCCCTCGTATTGCTTGGCACCCTTGCCGTATCGGGTCGCTGTGTCTGCCTGCATCCACGGTGGCAGTGAGCGTGAGCATTGCCAAGACCTCCAGAAACGCCCGGCTACGCCCTGCCAACCAGTTCCCTGAGTTCTTGACTTAGGGGGACGAGGGGGCGGAAGCGAGCTGGTGCAGAGGGAAGGCAGCTTAGTGTAGAAGAAGGCATGTCTGACTAGTTGTGTTTCAATCTGCAAGTTACCGTCATGAATAAGTTGCTTAACTTCACCCAAACCGGGATTATTGGCATGAAAAGTGGGTGCAGTTTCATAGCAAAATTGTTAGAGATACGGGGTGATAGAATGGCGCAGCTATGTAGTCTGGGTAGAGAAGGCCAGGCAGATAATTGTTTGCTAAGTTCGTAAGTATTAATAACGGGGAACCTGGGTTGCATTGTACTTTGAAATTGTTGGTTGTGTACGAAAATACTCTGTCACTGGTCGTGTTAATTCTTAATTATCTGTAGCCACGTGTAATGTCCTGAGAATTGGACCAGCAGTCAGAAAGACCTGCCTTTAAGTTTTAAGGCCACTTTTGAGCCACTGCTCAGCGCTCTGACTTGGACATGCCTGTTAACTTTTAGGGACTCTTATTGTTGTGTTTTGTTCTTTAACCTATAAATAGTTTTAATGAGTTGATTGAGACTGACACTTTTTTTTTTGGTAAAGTCATTACCTAGTTTTTATCGATATAATAATGTCATATTTTTATATTGGGGCATTCCTTTGCTTGAGTCACAAAATTATTAGTGCATCCCCTCCAGCTGAAAGGTGATATTTAGCCTTGCTTTCCAGTACTGAAGCCAGAAGGCTCCCTGCCACACACACCCGAAATTCAAATCTATGCTAGTAAGCATACTTTTTAAACTTCAAAGGCTTCCCCTTTCCATTCTGATTCATTTCTCCCCTATTCCCAGTGAGAGCTGTAGTTCTAATGCTATCTAATGCCCTTATCAGTTCTAGGGATATTGTATCATTCGAGTCCAGTTGGACTTATCCTATACTAACAATAGAGCAGGGCTCCTAGAGTGGGAATCAGGATGGGGCACTGAAGAAGAGATAAATTGTGGTGTTCAATTTTGAAAAGTTTCTACTTGTAATAAGAAAAAGAACCAAATTTTCATTTCTTAAAGAGTGTGGCACCCCACCACACTGAGGTGAAACACTAAGGGTGTGCAACAGAACAGCAAGGGGAATGGAGGAAAGAAGTCCCCAGGGAGTACCAAAAATAGACTTTGGGGCCAGGGCGTGGCACCCCATCAGGCTTGACTGGAAAACATTCCTAAAGGTCAGCAAACAGACCTTGAACTATTTACAGGCTTTTCCTTTTTTTGTTGTTGTTTTATTTTCTTTTGTTGCTTTGTTCTGATCTGTCTTGTTTTTGTGCATATTACTATCTGCAGGTCTATATAGATAAGATAGGTGGGATAAACAATCTGGAGGAGAAAACAACTGGACCATAGGTTGGGGGTGGGAGGACATGGAAGAGGGGGAGACGGGAGGTGGGGGTGGGGGGGGAGGAAGTGGGTGTTACCAAACCCAGGGACAAGGGAACAACAAGTGATCCAAAATTGATGGCAAGGAGGGTATAGGAGGCCTGTTAGGGCTTGATCAAAGGCATTGTAACAGAGGAATTACTGAAACCCAAATAAAGGCTGAGCATGATAGTGGGACAAGAGAAAAGTAAAAGGAAATAGAGGAAAGAACTAGGAGGCAAAGGGTCTAAATTCAGAGGTCTAAATACAGGCCTGTACATGGGGAAATAGATCTATGTGCATGTACTTATAGGCTTAATATTAAGGTAGCAGGTGGATATTGGGCTTCTACTCAAGTACTCCCTTAATGCAAGAACACTTTGTTCTGTTAAATTGGTATTCCATGATGCTCACCTTCCCAACATGATCACTAAAGTACAAAGTGGGTACATATGCAAATGTGGTGAAGAAAGCTGTTGGTACCTGGCTATCAAAAGATAAAGCATCTGCAAGTGGAGAACCCCAACTGGTAACCACTATGGCACCTATTTAAGGCTTCCATTGAGATACTAAATAAATGATTATGTTCAATCATCCCAGCAGTGCCCTTGGTGAGCATTTTGTAAATTAATTTCAGGCAGACTCAAAGATAATTTGTGTAAGAACAGAACCCTTGTTTTCCACCCCCACCCCCCATCATACTGTACCTATTAAAGCTTTTTTATTTTTTTAAATTAAGCTTTAAAAATAGCCAGTTTCATTAGAATATAGTTTAATGTTTTAAATATTGAATTGTGTCTTCATTATTAATAAAGGTTTGTTTTGTGAGCCAAAGGTCATAAACTCAGGAATCTACACGTTCCAGTATTTTAGTTTCCCCAAATCAATTTTATCCTTTCCTATCTGCCATCAAGCCAATGCCAACTGATAGTGACCCTATAGAACAGGGTAGAACTTCGGTGAGTGTCTGAGACTGGAACGCTCTACCTGTGTTTCTCCAGAGGAGCAGGTATGGCTTTAGACCGCTGACCTTGTGAATTGCAATCCAATGTGTAACCATTACACCACCATGGCTCCTTCTCTACTCTACTGCAAGGAATACAAATTCTGAAGTATTTTAATAGGAGTTTTTCTCTCTCCACCCCCCACCCTCCCGCTTATTTGATCAACAATTAACAAACTAAAATCAATAGACTAATAATTTTGTGTGATTAAGTGTTATATCTTGTAATCTAACAAACTGGATTATTAAACATTTCTAAGAGTTGGTATTCAGAATCTGAAATTAATCTTTTAAAAAATGTGGACTTTATGTCATACTAATATTGCTTACAGCCAGAATATCTGAAATTGTAGAGAAGGATTTTTATTATTAATGCATTATCAGTTGAGTGGACTATCTTTTCAGTTGTTTTTAGTCCTGCTCTTTAAATACCAATTACTGGGGCTTTGTTTTCAGTTTTATAAGCTCTGTGTTGCTGGGTAGCTAGAAGCCATGAAGTCAACGCCAACTCAGGGAGAGCTTCTGTACAACAGAACAACAGTTTCCCCAGTTCCTGCATCATCCTCATGATTGCTGGTGTGTGTTCGAGTCTTATCGCTGAAGTTATTATGCCTGTCTTTCTCACCAAGGATTTCCCTCACCCACCTGCTTCACCAACTGCCAGGTTCTCCTCTCATGATTTTATAATTCTTGATGAATTGCCCAAAGCAATTGAGTCAGTGTTTTCTTATGTTCCATAAGGTTTTTGTTGGCTAATTTTTGGAAGTGGATTGCCAGGCCTTTCTTCCGAGCCTATTTTAGTGTAGACTCTGATCTGAAATCCATGTGCCGTGGCTTTGAAATACCAGCGACATAGCTTCCAGCATCATAACAATAAGCCCACCCGTAGTCGAACAAACTGGCGTGTGTTGCTTGAGCCATTAGGTTGCCTTAAAATGTTATTGTATGATGTGTTCATCTGCCCCACCTGCTTGTTTTTATGTCTAGACTTAAAGATGAGTATGTGTTAATGGCTCAATTTTGAATCATCCTCATCCCTTAGCTAAATGTATGCAAATTCCTCTAAAATATGCTTGTTTGGTAATAAATGTGGCTTTTTTTGTAGTGGAATTAGTCTTGTTGCAGTCCCGTGGCATCCTTTGAAACTCCTCTTGTGCTAAAAGCAATTCCCATGTGAAGAGTCTTGTTTCCACAAGCTGGAAGCAAAAACTCACTTTCCCAATTTCCTTTCATAGAGTGCAGGGCGTGACCACACGGCTCAGACATACCTGCTCCAGGAGTTGGAGAAGTAGGAGTTAGAGATGCAGAATTGAAGGCTCAAAGTGTGTACTCGTGGTTCCCTGCCCTGTCCGCAGCAGTCACAGCACAACTGCAACATTCCTAGATGACAACAATGCTAGTTGTAGCATCTGGCATATACTGCTACTTGATAACAGTGTTTTTCTCACCTAATCAGGTTGGTAGTGATACCTTAGAATGGTGCTTGAAACTAATAGTCCTTTTTTTTATTTAATCATTTTATTGGGGGCTCGTATAACTCTTATCACAATCCATCCATCCATCCATCCATCCATCCATCCATCCATCCATTGTGTCAAGCACATTTGTACATTTGTTGCCATCATCATTCTCAAAACATTTGCCTTCTACTTGAGCCCTTGGTATCAGCTCATTTCCCCCTCTCCCTCCCTGCTCCCCACTCCCTCACGAACCCTTGATAATTTATAAATTATTATTATTTTGTCATATCTTACACAGTCCAACGTCTCCCTTCACCCACTTTTCTGTTGTCCATCCCCCAGGGAGGAGGTTATATGTAGATCCTTGTAATCGGTTCCCCCTTTCCTCCCCACCTTCCCGGTATCGCTGCTCTCAGCACTGGTCCTGAAGGGATCATCTGTCTGGGATTCCTGTTTCCAGTTCCTGTATGTACCAGTGCACATCCTCTGATCTAGCCAGATTTGTAAGGTAGAATTGGGATCATGATAATGGCGGGGGTGGGGTGGGGAGGAGGAAGCATTTAGGAACTAGAGGAAAGTTGTATGTTTGTTTCATCCATGATACCCTGCACCCTGACTGGCTTGTCTTCTCCCCGCGACCCTTCTGTAAGGAGATGTCCAGTTGCTTACTGGGTCTTGGGTCCCCAATCTGCACTTCCCCTCATTCACAATGATTTGGTTTTTTGTTCTTTGATTCCTGATACCTGATCCCTTCAACACCTCGTGATCACTCAGGCTGGTGTTCTTCTTCCATGGTTGTTTTGCTTCTGAGCTAGGTGGCTGCTTGTTTACCGAAACTATTAGTCTTTCAGTGAGCATTTTCTGCCTAGTCAGTCAGTGTCAGCTACCTGGGAATCTGTACTGTTTTGAAAACAACATTAACGGACATCACAGCCCCCAAGTTTACCATAATTGCTGTTTTCACCACCATCTTGTTCCTTCCAACTCATAGCAACCCACTAGGACAGGGTAGGACTGTATCTGTAACTCTTTTCAGGAATAAATAGCTGTGGAGTAGCTGTTGGTCAAACTGCTGACCTAGCAATTAGCAACCCAGCTCTTAACCCACTGACTACCCCATAAGAGTTCCTTATAACTGCTGTTATACCTTCTCAATTCAGTGGAATTTGTTACCCCTCCCAGTCCAATCCAAACCCACTGCGTACAGTCCATTCTGTCCATAGAGAGTAGAACCACACAAGTTGTCCAAGGCTATAAATCTTAATGGAAGTAGTCTGCTACTTCTTTCTCCAGCAGAGTGGCTGGTGGGTTCAAATAACCAGCCTTTTTGGTTAGCAGCTAAGTGCTTAACCACTGACCCACCAAGGCTCCCACTCAGAATCCTACCACTCTGAAACCCTAATTCAAATAGCCCATTCTTTATGTTTTCAACTGCTTGCTACAAGATGCATTTGATCATGGTGGTTAGGATCATAGGCTCTAAGCCCCATTGCCTGGAATTGTATCCCAGCTCTGCCATTTGTTAGCTGTTGGACCTGAAACAAGTTCCTTCATCTGTAAAATGCAGGTACTACCGGATGCCTGTGCTTATAGGAATGACAGGAATTTTACGGAGCCTTACTGGTACACTGGCTAAATGCTTGACTACTGACTCCAAAGATTGGCAATTCAAACGTAGCCCCAGTGACTCTGGGAGAAAGGTTTTTGCAATCTGCTTTGGTAAAGATTATACTCTAGAAAATCTTATGGGGCAGTTCTGCTTTGTCATGTGGGTCCCTATAGATCAAAATCAGAATCAGTGATGTTTAACTGATTATCTAGAAGTGAGATTGTCGAGTGTCTGCTATGTTTTGAATGCATGCTAAATATATATTTACTTCATAAGAAGCAGCTAAACTATTTTGCAAAGTAGCTGCATAGTTTTGCATTCCTACTAGCACTATACGAGTGTTAACAGCTGTTCCATATCCTCATTAGCACTTGGTATTGTCAGTCTCTGAATTTTTATGCCATTGTAGTAGATGTGTAATAGTATCTTGTAGTGGTTTTTAACTGGCAAGTAACTTGCATTGCAGATTTGCAATGCTGAGCATCTGTTTGGGAACGTGGAGGACATCCTTGTTTTCTCCTAATGAAGCTTCTCAAATCTTGTCCATTGGAAAATCTGGATGGTTTGTCTTACTGACTTTTAAGAATTACAGGTGAAGCCTTTCATCAGTTATGTATTTTGTAAATATTCTAGTATGTGGCTTGGTTTTAGTCTTTTAAGAATATCGTTTCAAGAATAGATTCTTTCAGTTTTGATGGCATGCAGTTTACTAGTGCTTTATCTTTATTTTTTGGTTTGTGCATTTGTGTTTTATTCAAGACATCTTTGCCTGGCCCAAATTCATAAAGATTCTTGTCTTTTTTGTGTGCATGATTTATAGTTTTAGCTGTTGGCTATACGGTTCGTTTTGTGTTAATGTTTTGTAGATGGTACACATTAAGCATGTTACAGTTCATACTTATGTTTGTAGGTGCCCAGTTGCTACCAATTGGTTTATTGAAGATATTATCCCTAGTACATTGAGTAACCTTTATGAGATCAATGATTTGAGGCCTTTCTAGTAGAAAGTATCTGCATTTAATGTTCTTAACTGTTCCTTGAAGCACTATGGTAGCTACAGTCCATAGTTTGTGCTTTCATTTTCATTCAAAATATTTTTGCTTTATCTCCTAATTTCATTTTTACACCATGAATTATTTAGAAGCATGTTGTTTAATTTTTAAGTATTTGGGAATTTTTTTGATATCTTTTTCGATGACTTCTAATTCCAATGGGGTCCAAAGACACAGTAGCTAAAGCACATGTCTGCTAAACAGGAGGTCGGTGGTTTGAACCCACCAGCCACTCTGGGAGAAAGATGACTGCTCTCCTAAAACTCACAGCCATGGAAACACTGTTGGCAGTTCTCAGTACTATAAGGTTGCTGAGTTGGAATCTACTTGACCCCAGGGGGTTTGGTTTTAATGAATTTGAAACTTCTAGGTGGTGCAGTAGTCTTGGCCTACATACCCTCTTTTCAGAAAAAAATTTACTCATACACACACCTGCCGGCCCCCAGCAATGAAAAATTTTGGATTAAAGCTCATAATCCAGGATGTAGTGTAGGTGTCTGCTTCTGCAGTCCCCCCTTGATCGGTCCAGCACTCCCTAGGGAGTGGTATTACCCACTGCTTTGTGAGAGAAGGGGGTAGCAGTTCATTCTACTCTGTTCTGCAGGGTTCTTGTGAGTCGCTATCAACTGCATGCCAATGAGCTTGGTGGTCAGAGAGCATGCTGTGTATGATTTTAGTCCTTTTTGTTTAGTTTGCAGGCCAGGATATTCTTAATACATTCTAAACTTTAAAAGGTTTCACCTTCATTATACTGTATATCTAAAAAGGCGATCTACCAAGTTACTATTTTATATTCCATTTTAAAAATTTATTTTACTGGAGGCTCTTACAGCTCTTATCACAATTCATTCATATATCCATTATGTCAAACACATCTGTACATATGTTGTCATCTTTAAAAAAAAACCATTTTCTTTCTATTTGAGCCCTTGATATCAGCTCCTCATTTTTTATTTTTCCTACCTCCCCGCCCTCACTTTTTTAACTTTTAAAAGATAACAGATTAACCCTTTTGTCACCCCTTAAGCCTGGACCTGAACCCCACCCTCCCTTCCAGGATCAAATTAGAATGAAATAATAGGCCTCTAAGGTTAACAATTAGCTAGGGAAGTTTGTGTTTTCCTAGACCAACCAACCAACTAACTAATCATAGGAGATTAAAGGGCAGCAGTTGCCCAGCGTTTAAATTGAGAAGGCAGAAAAGAGGGATAGGAAAGATGGGTGAATGGAAATGGCAAACAGGGAGGAAGTGGGGATTGTAACATTGTGGAGATTGCACTCAATGTCACAGATCAAAATATGTATGGATATTTGGAAAACCTCTTTGTTTTGTTTGTAAACTTTCTCCCAACTCATAATTTTTAAAAGTTCTTGAAAGTACCTAGTGAATTATCTTTCCTCACTTGTTTAATCCCTCTTTCTGAATAAAAAAAGTGAAACAACTTCTTATTTAACCATTAACTTAGAATTTCTGTGTTGAGGCTCACAGTCTGTATCTGTATCTTCCCTTCTCTTTTCAATCGGGCTTTATGCCACATTTGGGTGGAATGCTCCCCTGCTGGAAGGAAGGAAGGAAGGAAGGAAGGAAGGAAGGAAGGAAGGAAGGAAGGAAGGAAGGACATTACTATCATATTTACCTAACTGTTAAGGAAATTAAGACATTGTGTCTTTACTGCAGCAGTTCATGTTTGCTTGCTATTTTTGCTTTCTTGGTGAATGTATGTAAGCTTTTGTTTTATGCTTTTTGTAGGTCTAAGATCTGGCAAGCTGGGAGAACAATGTGAAGCAGTTGTTCGCTTTCCCAGACTCTTTCAGAAGTATCCATTTCCTATTCTCATCAACTCTGCATTCCTAAAGTTAGCAGATGTTTTCAGAGTTGGGTAAGTCTCTGTAAGGTTTCGGTGCCCTAAGACCTCTCTTTGTGTTTCTTTGCCTGTGCTCTTTTTTTCCTCTTAGGACTTCCACAGGAATGGTTACCACTTCAGTGATTCATGGGGCAGTGTGCAACACTTCATTGTAAAATTAAGGAATATAATTGAGAGAATACTTTTTTTTTAAGAAATGGATAAGTCAAATTAAAACCAGAAAGACAAACCCATTGCCATCAAACCTTTTCCCATTGTAGATTTTTCTAGAAGCAAACTGCTACAAATTTCTTCTAAGGAGTAGCCCATGAGTTTGAAGCACCAATCTTTTGGTTAGCAGCTTAGCACTTACCACGCACCAGAAGGACTCCTTAAATCAAATTAAGCCAACACTTCTGTACTACTGTATGTTTTGGGGGAAATTTGTTACTTTGCACAGAATTTTTTAAAATAAATTTGAATTTAATAGTGTGTTTTGTAACATGAGATACATATCTATAAAATATCTGAAAATAAGTAACTAAGCCAAACCCACTGCAGTGGGGTCGTTTCCAATTCATCCCGAGCCTATATTGGGTTTTCGAGGTTGTAAATCTTTACTGGAGCAGACACTGGTGCAGTGTCATAATTCTCCCAGGGAGCACCTGCTAATGCTTGAGCCACCGACCTAGTGGGTAGCAGTTCAGCACTTATTCAACAGAGCCTCCAAGACTCATTGAAAACACTGAATATATATGCCTTCCTTTTTTCTCTCCATTAGTCATTGTCCCCTGCCTGTCCTCCTTTGTATCATTTTCCATGCACGTGTGTGCACCTACAGACCTACCAAATAAGGCTTGACGGAGAAAAGATGGAGGAAGACCATCTCACCTCCTGATGTTGGCTATCACATGATTGAAGGCTCAACTTCAGGACTGCAGCTTGTGACGGGTCACTCTGTTGTCCTCTCTCAGGAGCAGTGACAGCTGCCTAAACTGAATCTCCACCTAAAATACAGACTTTAGCTAACTTCTGTAGTAGTGAGACCCTAAGATTGTGAGACCTTGATCTGTTTATTTTTAAACATTAATAGCTGTGCTACTTTGATCTCTAAATATTACTTTCCTAAAGTGTTTTAATTTATTTTATCTCTGATTTTTCACAGAAATAATTTCCTGAGGCTGTGTGTTCTTAAAGTTACCCAACAAAGTGAGAAGCATTTGGAGAAGATTCTAAATGTGGATGAATTTGTGAAGAGAATTTTCTCTGTGATTCATAGTAATGATCCCGTGGCAAGAGCCATCACACTCCGGTATTGTATGTTGCTGTAATGACCCACCACAAAGTGTCTAACCTGTAATTATTAACAAACAGAAAGGAACGCGCGCGCGCGCGCGCACACACACACACATACTATTCACCGCCATCATGTCAATTCCAACTCATAACAATTCTATTGGACAGAGTAGAATTGCCCCTGTGAGTTTCTGATACTCTAAATCTTTAAGGGAGCAAAAAGCCCCAACTTTGTCTCTTGTGGCAGCTGGTGGCTTTAAACTGTTGACCTTGTGGTTAGCCACTCAACATGTATCGCATTATGCCACCAGAGCTCGTGTATGTATACATAGATGTACATACATAAGGTATATTTTCTTTTTGTCTTAAAGGTTGTTTTTTATTTTTACTGAGACTGCAAAAATAACACTCTAATTTGTAAGTAATTTTCCATTGAGATTGATGATACTGCTTTAATTATACTTAAGTTGCATTGGAAATGTGCCTCTGTAGGTATGTTAATCAAAGAACTCAATGGATCTGAACCCAGCTTAGCCTTTGCTCATTTCATCTTTTGCCCTCCTGGCCCTGTTTTCATTTGTTTTGTGTCAGTTTTTTCATTCCTCTTCAGTTATGGAATCAGCCTTTCATTTTGATGTATAATCATTTGTACTTGAAGATACTGGAGAACACTAAGAAATTACCACTGTATTTTCTTAAAACTTCCATATTAGGCATTGAAAAAATAAGTTTCTTAGAACTTCATTTAATAGTTTTATATCCAGCTTGGACCATAGTCTCTTTTTACCTTTGCAGTCTATAAAGTCAGGCATCATTTTTTCAGATTTTTGAAATTCACTTTTCTAAATTGTAGGTCTCATTTGTGGTTCTTTGTTTTCTTTTTTCTGCCCCTCCATAGTTTCCTGTACTTTCTCCCTGCTCTCAATCTTGGCTTGTTGTAGTCTTTAAAGCCTAATCCTTAAGTAAGAAAACCATTTTTCTGTTTCTTTGTTTTCCTTTATAATAATGGTATCATAAAATATTTACCTTTATGAAGTTGGCAAATTTTGCTAAGCATAATAATATTCTCTAATTTTGTCCATGTCTTAATGTTTTGACAGACTGACATGTCATTGTTTTCTAAGGATGCAAATAGTCCATTAAATGAATATACCAGAATTTGTTTATCCATTCCTATATAGTCAGAGTTTTTGCTAATAGAGAAATTGCTGCCATAAACCTGGTGTGCATATGTCTATTCGGGTTTTATTGTTTATGTCTTTAGCAAACATTACCAAGTATTTCTTTCGGGTATGTACCAATAAAGAGATTCCAGGATCTTGAGGTATTTGTAGTTGCATTTGTTTAAGGAAGTAGCAAACTATTTTCCGTAGTGATTTTACGATTTTGCGTCCCCCCCCACCTTCCTAGCATTGTCTGAGCATTCTAATATTTCCACATCCTCTTCAGTATTTATAAGTTTTTGTTTGGGGTTTGTTTTACTTTTTTAATTTTGCTAAGAGTGCCAGTGTGAGGTGCTTTCTTGTTGTTTTAATTTGTATTTCTCTTACTGCTAACGAACTTGGACATTTCTTTATGATTGCTGGCTGCCTGGATGTTATCTTTTGTAAATTGTGTACTTATGTCTTGTGCCCATTTGATTAGGTAATTTGGGTTTTTCTTATTAAGAGTGGTGTAGTTTTCTGTTGATTTTTGAACTTGGCCCTTTATCTGATAAGTTATTGCTAAATATTTTTCCCCAATCTTTGGGTTCTCTTTTAACTCTCTTGATGAAGTCTTTTCGTGTGTATAAATGTCGTATATTTAGACGGTCCCAGTCCTCTATTTTGTGTTCTATAGTATAGGTATTTTTCATTATATTTGGTTTTGTATTTATGTCTTTTATTAGGACCCCAATTTTTCCCTATTTTTCATTGATGTCTTTATGGTTCTAGGGTTTATATTTAGGTCTTTAATCATGAATTCACTGATGTATATGATATGTGGTTGAGGTTTTGTTTCATTCTTTTGCAGGGGGTGATTCAATTTTTCTAGCAGCATTTATTGAAAAGGTCACCCATCTGTTTATCCACTTAAGGTTATCAGTCCGTTATTGAAGACCAGTTTTCTATAAATACTTAGTTGTATTTCTGGGTTCTCAGTTATAATCCATCCATCATTCCTCTGTCTCTTGAGTGATGAAGTGAGAAGCTGTGTGATATTTCAGTCAGTTAATTGATTTCGTCTTCTTAAATATAAATGTAATAGAATTGAATTTAAATGACCAGCTATACTGATGTTCCCTTGCACATTCTGGCATATGCTCCAGGGGAAGCCCTTCACCTCTATTTTCTTAATTTTGGAGATAGTTTGAAAACCATTGTATCAGTATTTACTGATTTGGAAAAAAGACTGGAGAATTTTACCTCTTTTTGCTTCATGGGTATGTTTAATAGAAAATATATTGGCTCTTAATGCTTGGCTAAAATGGAATTCTGTAAGCAATATTGGAAAATTGGCTTTTTAATCTATTCGCCCTGTCAATTATGTGTTGAATTGTGGTGGCTTGTATGTTGCTTTGATGCTGGAAGATATGTCACTGGGACTTCAAATACTGTTCACCCAAAGTGAACAGGTTTCAGTAGAGCTACCAAATAAGGAGCACAATGTGAAGAAGGAATGGGCTGTTTACTTTGGAGAAATTATCCACTGAAAACCATACAGAAAGTTTCAAAATAATGTCAGACACTGAAGACCTGATGAAGCAGAACATTTTCAGAGATAGCACCAGAAGATGAGGCACCCAGGCTAGGAAACACTCAAAATAAGACTGAGAAAGAGTTCCCTTCTCAAAGGAGTATTAGCTAATGACATGAATGGAGTAAAGCCTTTGGGACTTTGATTTGCTGATGGGGCACATCTCAAAATGAGGAGAAACAGCTGCAAAAATCTAATAACTTAAAATGTCTGAAGTATGAATCTAGAAAAATTGGAAGTAGAAAATGAAATGGAACACATAAAGATCGATATCCTAGGTATTAGTGAGAAATGGACCAATGTGGGCCATATTCAATCAGAAAACTCATCTGCTGGGAATGACACACTACAGAGGAATGGTGTTGCATTCATCATCAAAGAGGACCTTTCAAGATCTGTCTTGAAGTACAGTGCTGTCTGTTTTGGATTTTATTTATCTGGCTTTAAAGAAATTCAATCAGTATAGCTATTACTCAAATTTATGCACTAAACACAAATGCAACTAGTGATGAGGAAATTGAAGAATTCTACTAATATCTTCTGTCTGAAATTGCTCAAACATGCAATCACGATGCATTGATAATTATTGGCAATTGGAATGCAAAGGTTGAAAATGAAGTAACAGTCCTCAAAAAATAGGATTTGGTGATAGAAACAAAGATGGAGATCACATGATAGAATTTGCAATACTAACGACTTGTTCATAGCAGATACCTTTTTCAACAACACAGATGGCGAATATCCACCTGGACTTCTGATAAGTTCTAGTTGGAGCTGAAAATGAAAACACATCCATCGAGCCAAATATCTTAAGTCTAACCCACCTGAATCTCAAGAACTTCTGAAGAACAGATTTGACTCATTGACCACTAATGACAGAAAACCTGATGGACTGTGGGAGGACATCAAGAACATCATACACGAAGAAAGAAAACGGTCTTATAAAGAAAGAGAAGTTCAAAGTGCACATCAGAAGAGACTCTGGAACTTCATCTTAATTGTTACAGTAGCTAAGGCAAATGGAAAAATTGATGAAGTCATGTTGCTGAACATAAGATTTCAAAGGACAGATCAAGAAGACAAAGTAAGTATTAGAGTGAAATGCGCAAAGACCTAGATTTAGAAAACCAGAAAGGAAGAACATACTCAACACATCCTAAACTGAAAAAACTCTAGAAATTATTCAAGCTTTGAGTTACAATATTGAAAGATTCTATGGGCAAAATATTGAATGATGCAGGAAGCATCCAAAGATGGAAAGAATACACAGAATCACTGTACCAGTAAATAGAACAAAACCTAGTTGACATTGTACAATTTCAAGAGGTAGCCTATGAGCAACAATCAATAGTACTGATGGGTGAAGTTCAAGCTGCATTGAAAGCATTAGCCAGAAACAAGGCTCTAGCACTTTGATGGAATACCAATTGGTATGTTTCAACAAGCTGATTAAACACTGGAAATAATCACTGGGCTAAGCCAGGAAATTTGCAAGACAACCACTTGGCCAACTGACTGGAAGAGTTCTATATTTGTACTCATTTCAAAGAAAAGGTGACACCCCCCCCTCCCCCCGCCCCAAATGCTCAAATTAGAGAATAGCATCATTAATGGTATCAGAGTTTAAATCGTGAAAACCCAGTTTGCAGAAGACTTTGAATGACAGTGGAAGCCCAAAATCCATTTGTAGCGTTCCCACATGGATTACACAATCACTGAACCCCCTCTGAAAATATCCAAGGATGTGAATAACCTCGCTGGCAGACTGAAAGCATAATAAAGTTGATTATAGCAGATGCAGTTGGGTTAGAATTTAATACTTTATTTGATCTCCATTTTGACCCATTCTAAAGCTTAAGTTTTTAATATTTTTCCTTTTTTTTGATTAAGGCTTTTTCCTAATTGTTTCTAGTTTGATTCCTATTTATGTTTTATATGATTTTCTGTATATGAAATCCAGGATAGGTAGATCTATAGAGGCAGTAATAGCTGGATTGATAATTTCTAGGGGCATGACAGAAGAGGATGGGGAGAAATGAGAGGCCACCAGCAATGAGTTCGAGAACAGAATGTTCTGAATTTGATTGTGATGATGACTGCATAAATCTTTTAATATAATTGAACTATTAAATTTTATGATAATGTGAAATATATACCAACAACACTATTTTATTTTTAATTTGCTGAAGACCACCCAACAAGGTTGCAGCAGTACATTGACAGGGGCCTGCTGGAATTTAAGTCTGAATTCCTAGGAGCATGTGTAACAAGAGATATCATTGCTTATGTCAGAAAGCAGAGACTACCAGAAAAATGTTTACTTGTGTTTTATTGACTATGCCAAGGCATTCCACTGTGTGGCTCATAACAAACTGTGGGAAACCTGGAGGAGAATTGGTATTTCAGAACACTTGATTGTACTCATGAGGAACTTCTACATGGATCAAGAGGCAGTTGTGTAAACAGAACAAGGGAATACTACATATTTTAAAATCAGGAAAGGTTTGCATCAGGGTTATATCCTCTCACCACACTTAATCTGTATGCTAAGCAAATAATTAGAGAAGCTAGATTATATGAAAAGTGCACCATCAGGATTGGAGGAAGGCTTATTAATAGCTTGTGATATGCAGATGACACAACCCTGCTTGTTGAAAGTGAGGAGGACTTGGAGCGCTTGTTCATGAAGATCAAGGAGTACAGCTTTCAGTAGGGATTACACCTCAATGTAACGAAGATGAAATCCTCACAACTGGACCAATGATAAATGGAGAAAAGAGTGAAGTCGTCAAGAATTTTATCTTGCTTGGACCCATAATCCAGTGCTCATTGAAACAGGTCAAGAAATCAAACAATGCATTGCTTTGGATAAATCTGCTCAAGACGTCTTTAGCTTGATGAAGAGTAAAGAGGTTACTTTGAGGACTAAGGTATGCCTTACCCAGGTCATGGTATTTCAGTTGCCTCATATGCTTGTGAAAGTTGGACATTGAATAAGGGAGATTGAAGAGGAATTGATACATTTGAATCCTGGTGCTGGTGAAGAATATTAACAATCCATGGACTGTCAAAAGAATAAACATATCAGTCTTGGAAGAAGTACAGCCAGAATGCTCCTTAGAGGGAAGGATGGTGAGACTTCATCTCATGGTCTTTGGACACATCAGGAGAAACCAGTCCCTGGGAAAGGACCTTGTGTGTGGTAAAACAGAAGGGTAGTGAAAAAGAGAAAGACTCCCTACCAAATGCATTGACACAGTGGCTGCACAAATGAGCTCAAGCGTAACAATTAGGAGGATGGCACGGGCCAGGCAGTGCTTCATTCTGTTCTACAGAGGGTGGTTATGGGGAGGGACCAACTCAATGGCACCTAACAGTAACAAAAGCAGTCCTTCCATCATGATGCAAAAGTTTCTTTCTTGAGCCCTGTTTGGTACCTGAGATGTATTTTGAGGTTATTTATTTTGCTCATATTCTACAAGCAATTAAAATTGTTCTGACTTATTAACATATGTAAAGGTTTAGAATTCGAGTCACTGCTATTCTTAAAGGGTATATTTTACTAACCTGAAACTTATGGAATTACCTACAAACTTTAGTTTGCTTGACCTTGCTTCCTCCTCTCCTGACCTTGAATTTATTGTATCTGTTCAGCTTGGATTTTTCCATTTTTCTAGGATGTTGGGAAGTCTTGCATCAATAATTCCTGAGAGGAAGAATGCTCATCATAGTATCCGTCAGAGTCTGGATTCACATGATAACGTCGAAGTTGAAGCTGCTGTTTTTGCTGCTGCAAACTTCTCTGCACAGTCTAAGTAAACATAGACTTTTGTTTTTCAAGAAGATTTTAAACATTTTTTAAAAGGAATAACTGCTGGATATGTAGAAAAACTTAGGGCTACAGAAAAAGTAAATGACAAGTATGTACATATTCCAAGCAGGCTTGGACCACGTTGGGGCAATAATACATAAGTGAAAAAGAAAACAGTGTTAAAGCATTAGCATTCACTATTAATGAAATAGGAGTTTTGAAACCAAAGTCAACATAGAGTATCTTAGCAGGGTGCCATTGGGAGCAGATGTGTTGCCTGCTGGGCACACGCTTTCAAGTACATACCTCCCCAATACTAAATGACTGCTTTCTTAAGATCTCTAGTGCTGAACTGTTTGACATTAGAGTTGTGCACAGCTTGACTAACACAGTAACTTGAATTAAAACCAATGTCCTACAATGGCATCTTACAGAAAAAGGTTTTGTTTTTAATGAAATGTTGGCCCACTGCTTTTTTTACTATGTTTTTTACTTGCCTATTTACTCTTTGTAAAAATATGTATATTACCATTGCCTCCTGGAGAGAATAGTTATAATGTAGGTGATAAACCTAAAGCGTCCGCATCCCTTTGGCTCAGCAACTCCCTATCTAAGAAATTTCTCCTAGTGAATATACACTATCTGCTGACATTTACTTGCAAGGAGGGTAGTTCTAGTATTACTTATTAAATCAAGAGAAATTTAATTTTGTTTTCAACCAATAGGGACAAGCTTAGATAAATTATGTTCGTACAATGGAATATTATATTAGCTTTTATTAAGTACATTGTAGAAATATATTTGGAAGCATTTAAAATAATAGCATATGTAATATTCCAGGTTTATAAAGGAAAAAAAGTACTTCTGATTATGTGAATAGAAAAAATATTAGAAGGATATATCAGAATGTCTGGCAATGGGGATCTGTGAGGTGTTGCTTTTGTTGTTTTGGGTTTTATTTATTTTTTAAATCATTTTTTAGGGGCTCATACAACTCTTATCACAATCCATACATACATCAATTGTGTAAAGCACATTTGTACATTCATTGCCCTCATCATTCTCAAAA